TTGTTGTATATTGTATAACATTTTCACTAACGATGAATTTACATTGTAATGCGATTTTCAAGTTTCTTAGATTTATTTAGGAGAATAGAAGATTGATATTGTTTAAGTTGTTCGATAACATCACTAAATTTGATTTGATTGGAGACATATCTCAGTAAAGGCTATATAGTCTCAAACAAATCTACACCATTAAACTTCAGTTTATGTATATACAAACGGCAACAGCTTCAATATTAAATGAAGTTCTTCTCACTTAAATCATCGGTCTGGAAACAATAATATTTGCCCATTGTTGTATATACTTGTCACTTGTTATATTTGTTATATGATACTAAAGCAAATCGTTACGCTTATCGATAGGATAATGTGAATAACGTGTCGAATAATAACATCATTGCGTGCTATTATTAACCGGACTAGACATGTAAACAAAAATTTAAACATGCATACACTTTTGCCAGCAAGCAAGTTTTTCAACAAAGAATACAAAATGTGAACAACGTTTTACATTTTAGTCAGGACAGATTAGAAGATGCTTTAAAGCATGCCCTATAGTTGAACTGTAACAGTTGTCTTCTAAAGTCTTCCATATATAAATTTAAAGGAGGTCAATAATCATTATGAAGGTTGACACATCAATTATATTGTGTATACATGTAACAATTTGAAAATATTTTTTCTTGGGGGGGGGGGGTGAGGGCGTGGGCAATTCAGAAAGGGACCGATATGTGAAAAATTGGGTAGTACTACTAGCCCATGGACTGTGGCCTAAAATGGAGGTTTACTAATATCCTTCAAAATGTACGAGTAAATATTGTAGAAATTTGTATTCTGTTGGTATCACGTAAACACAGTTTACATTGTATGTGTACAAGATTAAGAGTTATCACTATGAACATGACAGACAAAGAAAGCGGACAAAATATACAGTTCCTCAGGCAGACAAAGGAACGTCCCTTCACTGCTATTATGTAAAAAGGTGAATATGCATGCGACACCTGTTCTACACATTTTTACATAATCGCAGTGAAGGGATGTTCCTTTGTCTACATGAGGAACTGTATATTTTGTCCGCTTTCTTTGTCAGTCGTGTTCATAGTGTATAGAATAAGATCTGTGGTACAAAAATGAATATTCAGCTTGCTCTTTTAAAAAGTCCCTTCCTGCCTACTTACTAACATTTACCTAATATATATTTACAACCCTTCGGAATGCACACTAGATACCGGCAAAGTAAAATTGAAGTGTGAAAAAAGTATATTGCTTGTAATTTTTATACTATAGTTTTGCTAAAGAATGTAATTTTGTAATACAACAAACCTGTGAGGGGGTAGCATAGAGCTATATAATAAGACTTATCATATGGCTCTATGGGGGTAGTCACTTCCGTCACCTCCTCCCCGTTCACTGGCGTACTGATGGGGGGGACCAGTACCCCCCCCCCCCAATAAAATCAAACATGGTTTATTTCTAATTTGATACCAACAATTTACAAATGTTGCTAAAATGGCATTATATTCCCCTGGAATCTACCCCCTGGACCCTTCCGAGGGCCCTAAGGCGGCCCCTAGATGCTCATCCGTCTGATCATAATTTGATGCCTTAAAACCCTGAGATTCTGGGGGCGCCGCCCCCTAGGCCTCACTCCAAATTAGTGACCTGCCAGTATCACAAATAAACCTTATCAAAATGCTCATCTGACCGTAATTAAATGCCTAAAGAACTCCTGAGCTTCATGGGGCTCCGCCCTTGACTCCCGCCGGGGCTTTGCCCCTGGACCCCACGCCAATTTAAGCTTTTTGCTTCGCTCGCTTTGCTCTACCTGATCGTAAACACATGAGCCCCCCCCCCCCCTACACCCACACACACACACCCCAACGTTTCTGCTCATTACGCCACTGGCCCCTCTTGCTCACTATGTTCCCTCGTCCCTCGCATTTCGTCCGTCCCCCACTGGTCATGAAAAGAAATCGCCGCCCCTGATTAAGATTGTAGAAGCCCTAATTGATTGGAGAGCCAGTCAGCTAGCTATTTTTTATTTACACGCTAGCGAGGGGAATTTCTCGATTAATTCCAATGGAACCGCTTAAAATTCCAATGAAACCGCTCGCGAAGAGTCTAGCCTGGATCGGAGAGCTCGCTAGTGCTATACGCTAGTGTGAATTTAAAAGACAATTTCTAAAGACAATTTCTCTCTTGAAAAGGCTCTGCCAGGCCCCTCAAGCTCTTCCATGTTGTATGGATCCATTCGAAAGCAAAATAAGCCCACTCAATAAATAATATATATTAAAACGTCATAGCGATTCATCCAAAAAATAAATCCACGTAAGAGGCATTTTGAAAGTTTTAAGAAAATTCCTTCAAATTCCAGGATATTGGGGGTTATTTAAACGAGTGGAAGCACTGGCGGTTCTGTTTTTTTTTAAACTGTAACAATTCTCCTTGGATCAGATATAGACCAAAAACAAGCCTCATTATCTTCAGTATACAAGTGTCATTTCGGACCTTAAGGCCCGGTCACACAGAGGGGACGCATGGGGGACGCACGGCCGGCGCATGGAAAATTTGCAATTTTGGCCAGTGCGTTGTCGTGCGCCCAACTTTTGTCGAAGCTATACAGCTAGCTGACACCAAATGCATAGCGCGCTGGACGCATACAGGGCGTACACAGGGCGCACACAGGGCGCACACAGGGCGCACACAGGGCGCACACAGGGCGCACACAGAGCGCACATGAAAACAACTTCCACGAATGCACAGCGTGTTGCTAGCGCGCTGGACGAATGGTCCACGCATGCACCGCGTTCTACGACGCACGGCCAGCGCATTGGAAATCGGAAAAGAACGTGTGCCTAACTTTTGTCATAATTTTGGAAAAGCTAGCGAGCTGACACAAAATGCACGGCGTGTAGCTAGCGCGCTGTGCGTATACAGGGCGTGTGCTCCGCGTTTGTCTGGCGCTGGTCTAGCGCGTTCCACGCATGTCTGGCGCTGGTCTAGCGCGCTCCGGCGCATGTCTGGCGTGCCTTTGGCGTGTATATTCATGCGTCGAGCTCGGCGCACGTTTTTGAGCATGCTCAAGAAATCCCGACGCACACAGCGAATGACGACGCATGCATAGCGCTGGTCCAGCGTTGGTCCAGCGCGCTCGACGAACGAGTAACGAATGATGACGCACGCCTAGCGAACGACAACGCACTGGCCCAAATTGCAAATTTCCAATGCGCTGGCCGTGCGTTCCCCATGCGTCCTCCCTGTGTGACCGGGCCTTTACAGCTTTCATAGAATTCGCTTCTGGACCGTCAAAGAAAAAGTTTGAGAACCCCTGGTCTACGCATTATACACATCAGGACCAACTTGACAACTTGACACAAATTTGAGGGGGGGTTCGACCCCCCCCCCCCTTGCGTACGCGCCTGCATGTGCATCCCTTTCCTCCTTATTCCCTTATCCATCGTTACCGTCACTACCATTTGAGTAGGGCTGGCCCCCTCCTTAATAACGACTCCCAAGCCATCAAGAATGACCCCATAATTTATAGATTACCATTCTGCGGTTCTTTGGAGGGGCCGGCCGGCGGGCGCGGCCTTTTCAGAAGTGTTTCTACTCTAACCTTTTCATGCACTACGGCTTAACATAAACAAGCATGGTAAGATTTTTTTTAAAAGAAGCATAATTCCGACTCAGTTTCGCATAACCTAAAAATAAGAATACGGCCAGTCACCCCTCCCCCCCCCCTCCCCTCAATGCATCCGCCTTCACGCACCCCCCCCCCTTCCCCTTGTCTTTCCCTTATTCGTCGTTACTGTCACTAATTTTTAGTGCCATTTCGTTGTCTTTCTTTCTCCCCGGCTCCTCTCTTCTTTTTCTTTCCTCTTTTTTGAACTCTCTCTCTTTTCTTTTCTTTTTTCTTCTCTTTTCTTTTATCTTCTCCTTTTTTTCCCCTTTTTTTTTCTTTCTTTTTTTCTTTTTTTTTTTCCATCTCAATTTTTTTGCGCCGCCAATAGGGGGGGCCGCGGCCGTTTCGGCCCACCCCTGGATCCGCCACTGCAATATGCGTGAGTACCCCCCCCCCCCCCCCCCCCCCCCGGGCTTATAAGCACACCAACACGGTTTTGATCCTGGGGCCTAACAGTTACGAGGCCATCAGGGAAAAAATTAATATTTATTTTTCGGGGGCTACTTTTCAACCTTGCCTGCATGAAAATAACATTCTAAAATTTGTTTTGCATTGAACTCTATGCAAATTTTGGGGGCTCCTTTATTACTTTCGGGGGCTCTTTTGGGCATTTCAGGGGCTAATTCGCCCCGAGCCCCCGTGTATTTTTTTCACTGGAGGCCATTAATAGCTTTGCCACTGAATCAGGACCGTAGGCAGCAGGGGCTAGAGTAGGGGGCAGCCCCCACAAATTTTTAAAAAGCAAAGAAAATGCGATAAATTATCAATAATTCATTGCATTTCACCCCTCTCGCCAACATTAACAAATTCTGTGTGGCCATGCCATGCCTTGATGGCCGTTCGATGGAAACAACATGAACAATTATGTTTAAATCAATCATTCAATGTTTTTTAAAATTCTGAGATGACCCCTCTTTTAAATGCTCTTTCATACGACATTGACACTTCATTTAATGAGTATCACATTCAGAATCACAAGCAATGAATAAAGGTTTGAATCTTTTGCATGGTCACGCAATGCACGTAGACTGCATAGGGATGCGTGCAATCTCTATGGGAAGGATTTTAGCACACACCAGCATGCAGCAGGGCAGGGTGCACGATCAGACACCAACTCAGCTCCGGGAAGCTCCGACGCCGATGCGGAAGACGGCCTACTCTGGTGGTACTGGTGGTAGCCGAACGTAATTGTAACACTCATTCAAAGTACGCCACCAAACTTTGGACTAAAATGTAATTTAAGCGAATTCATATGCAATACCTTTAGGCTAGACCTATACATTAAAATTAGGCCTAAGCAAAATACATCGGTTCAACTTACAAGCTTGACTGTATGATGCATTTAGGGTCTAGATCTACTGTCTTTTTTCAGCATTTTGTTGGTCGAAGTTGCACTCTGACTGTTGTGTTGAAATACCATGAATAAAAACGTGGAGTACGAAACTGAGAGAGATGTTGTGAAAGATCGAGTGAGGAGGTGTGAGAGCTGAAGCCAATTAACGATAGGTTTGTGAAGCATTCACCCTTCGTTTTCGTGATAAAATAATGGCTCTCCCAGCGTCTTGGCCAGTAAGCTGCATAAAGTTGTCTCTGATCTGAGCGTACTTTGTATAAAGAGAGCACTCATCAACGGCACCCACCGCGTGGATGATTGTCTCAGTACTAGGTCAGCAGTTAGTCCAGCCTGCGCCTCTGTACCGTTTTCGTTTAGCGCACCCATTCAGCTGATGAAATAACACACCCTCAACGTTGAAAGTAGACCTAGCCATTCCTCTAAATCTGGACCTCGACGGAAATTTGGGGATTGCCCGATCAGTGGAGAGACCGCGCTGTGTGTGGGGGATAAAAAGAACGAACGGACTGAATCTGGACTAGTCAGCAGTTTCTCCCCAGGCCAGGGGTAATCTGCAAGCACAAACCCTGGTCAGTCGTAAAAGTGAGTCTGCACCATAGGGCGCGTTCATGCTTGATTTTGACGGCCAGAATCAGGCATCTGTTACGCGTTTAGTTTAAAACACGGTTGCGTCTTAGCTCACTTTTGTAGAATCACCGAAAAACGGCGATCACGATCGCCGATCGTAAACTCACAAAAAGATGCGTTTACAATTTGTAAACGCGTTTAAATGGGGTCAACGCACTGACCTCTAGTGGGTCTACGTAGCATGCACAGTGAAGGTTTGCGAATCCAGCTGGAAGACCAATTAAGGCCACACACTGAGAATTGCCTGGGGGAGCCAGAGAAGTAAGCATGAACACTACATCGTGGAACTGCGATCACGATGAGCGTTTACGATGAGCGTTTCAGATCGCTCATTCTGCCTTCAAAATTTAAGCATGAACGCAGCCATAAATATATACTTACACTATTAAGTATATATCTCTTTGGTCTGCACTAAAAGACTACCATAGGCCATTTTTTTAATTTTTTTTATTTGAATTTTATTAACAACAACATAACACAATGTTACAAAATGTATTCAAGTGGGTTACAAAAATAACATGTTGTATACATATCCATGTACATGGGTTACAAAGAAAAAGAAAATATCTATAGTTGAACCATACAAATTAAGTTAATCATATATCATGTCATATCAAACCTGTGAATTAGCTATAACTTAATAATATGTAGAGATTTGTGGCTGGAATTGAAATTCACAGAGTTCCAATAACGTTTAAGTGATTCAAATAAAGGATATTTTTAATCTTAAAAAGTAACTTAAAAATGTTGTTAAAGGGAGAACCAAAAGTTAGCACGAGTGCTAGTCGGGATTGGTTCTCCGAAAATCTAAAACTGTATGCAAAGTCATATTAACACATATTTTTTCCTAATATCATATTATTTGATCCTTATGATTCATCTCTGCTAAGGAGTTTAATTCTGAGATTTTGACGAAATGATGATCTTGTTTTTTCTTCTCTTATATTTATGGGCAAATTATTCCAGAGCTTTGCTCCAATGAAAGAAATTGAAAAAGTCCCACGTGTCTTACTACATTTTAGGCAATCGTAGCATTAAATGTTCTCTCCCTCTTTTTCTATACATGTGATTAATTAAAACAAAGTAATCCATCAACGAATGTGGTAGATGTCCTTTTTGCAGATCATATACAAATGTCAATACTGAATGCTCGAACAGATTATGCACATCTAATACCTGTAGACGTACGAAAAGTGCCTTCGAACTCGTTCTAAATGGGGAAAATGTTATCACACGCATGGCCATTTTCTGTGCCAATAGTATGCAATTTAAATGACTTTTATAGCAACTTCCCCAAACTTCAATACCATAAAGTATGTGCGGTTGGATAAAGGATTTATACAAGAGCATGAGAATGTGCTTAGGCACATAGTGCCTCAACTTACACAGCAGTCCAATCTTCCTCCGTATACACTTATTAACGTTCTGAATTTGCTCCTTCCACATCAAGGTTTCATCAATTTGAATTCCTACGAAAGATGCTACACTGACTCTATCTATCACTGTATCACTGAGTTTTAAAATACCCCTAATTTTACATGATTGCCTTTGTCCCTTAATGAGCATATAATTTGTTTTCTTTAAGTTTATTGTCAACTTGTTAACAAAACACCATTTTTGTACTTCCAAAAATTTGATATTTACTTCATTCATATCTATTTCTTTCTGTCTTTTATCAAAAGTATGAAAAAGGTTTGAATCATCAGCAAATTATCTAAATTCAAAATATTTAGTAGAAGATGGTAAATCATTAATATACCGTATAATAGAAACAAAGTGGGCCCGAGGACTGAACCTTGAGGGACACCATATGTTATCCTTCTCCTACTTGATACTATTTCCTAGTAGCATAAGACTTGCGATCGATTTGAAAGGTAACTTTGAAACCATTGTAATACTATGCCTCGTATACCGTAATTTTCTAACTTTCCTAAAAGGATTTCGTGATCAATAGTATCAAATGCTTTCTTAAAATCTATAAAAATACCTAGCGTTGGTTTACCTTTATCCATTGATTTTATAAGTGTATTTACAAGATTTATCAATGATAACTTCGTACTATATCGCTTGCGAAAACCGTACTGATGTTCATACAAAATCTTGTTAGATTCTAAGAAATTCATTAGACGCCCATTAGCTAATTTCTCAAAGACTTTTGCAATGACCGGTAGAACAGAAATGGGCCTGTAATTTCCAGGGTCGGTCTTTGGTCCTTTTTTGTATAAAGGTGTCACTTTTGCCGTCTTCAATGCATCTGGGAACTCTCCCTTTTCTAATGACAAATTGAATATGTACGTCAGTGGCGCAACAATATAGGGTATCCTTAATTAATCTTACTGGCAATTTGTCATATCCATGGGATTTCTTAGCATCGAGAGCCAGTGGCGGATCCAGGGGGGGGGGGGCCCGGCCCCCCCCCCCTTGAGAAAAAAAATCATGTAAAATCACGTGATTTTTACCTTTTTTGGGGGTTGGGCCCCCCCCCCCCTGGCACTCAAGGGGGGGGGGGGGGTGCAAATTGAAATTTTTTTGAGGATCAAAAAAAAAAAATGTGACCAATAATCATATATCAACTGACATCAACGTATTGTCCAACAATTAAAATTGAGAAATATTTTGAAAGAAAGAGAGAGACAGTAAACCCAAATTGAGTGGTGGTATAATGCATTATCCGTATTAAAAAAAATATATATATATATATATATATCCAGTCAAATTCAATTGGTATTAAATTTGTTACATTATAAATTATTATAAAATACATATAATAAACAAGTGTGCAATTTTAAGTAAAACATCTACACGGCACCTCAATGCAATATAAAATTGGCAATAATGATTATTAATTAAATGTAATACCCTGTACAAAGTTTGAAGACACTAATAAAACGGTGTCGTATGATAATCACAAATATGTAAAATAGGATTGATGTCTTCTTATTAAAATTATTACATTTGATTAACGAGAATATACTCAATAAAAAGGACAATAAAAATACATTAAATTTGGCAAGATCATTGTAGATTAAACAGACACCAGGGTATGAAGCTATTTTTGTATCTATTAGTTTTGCATTTGGGAGGGTACAGGTCTTTGCTGTTCCGAAGAGAGTATCTTGTTTCTCTTGGAGCAGGAAGAAAATGGTTTAGCATGTGACTGGGGTTACGAATTTGGGTAAACAAATTAAGGCATAGTTTTTGTCTACGTTCAGAAAGGGATTGGAGGTTAAGAAAGACAAGGGCGTCAGAGTATGATAGTCCAGGTGAAATAATTCTAACTGCCCTTTTTTGGATGGACTCTAACATTTTGGATTGTTCTTTTATGGGTTTCCAAGAAGGATTTGTCATTTCTTCTAGCTAAATAGTTTTCGAAATCAAGATTAACAGTTGGAATCTTCTTTGCTAATGTTGATCCAATAGAAACAAAATAATTATTAAGTTCATTAGCTATGCCCTCATCTGAAGACACAACTTTATTCGTTCCCTCATCACAAATAACTAACTGTTCAATCTTTGTTTTCTTATTTTTATCATTTCTACTAATTAACTCTTTGATAATTCCCCAGGTCTTCCTCATATTATTTCTATTTTCGCTAAAGGACTCGCTATAATACATTCTTTTAGCATTCTTTATAATAGTTACTAACATATTTCTATATTTCTTGTATTCATTTCCATACTCTTCATTAAAATTTTATGACCTATATTTTTTATACAGACTATGCTTCTTCCTGATAGATTTTACAATACCTGTTGATATCCAAGGCTTTTTTGGTGTAGATCTTTTCTTTGAACTGCTGAATGTCACATTAGGTGCATGTTTATCACACACATTTACAAACATATCATAAAAATTCTCATAAGCTACATTCACATTTCCATTTCTATATATATGCTGCCAATTCAGCTTTGACAAATTTTCTTGAAATAGACAGACGTTGTACTTTCTATAAGATCGAGTAACCTTCCTCACAAAGGAGCTCTTTCCTGAACCATTTCGACCTTTAAAAATCACAAAAATTGGAAAATGATCCGAAACATCAGTTTCAATAACGCCTGAATGAATGGCGTAATTATGCACATTAGTACACATGATCAATGAGAGACGAAGTCAAATTTGTCATCCTGGTTGGCGACGAAATTATCTGTTGCATTCCTGTAGATTCTATTGCGCTCAAAAAATCAGATATCTTTGGCGTACCTGTTAGTGAAAGATCAATATTGTATTCACCTATTAAAACTACATTTGCTCTACCAATATTTATATTTTCTAATACACCAAGTAAGCCATTTAGAAACTCATCAATGTTCGTATTTGGTTTCCTATAAATCACACCGATCACAAAGTTATCAATATTATTCTTAGACACTTTTAACCACAAGCTTTCTGCATGAGCAACGTTAAATTCAAGTATTTCATAATTCACTTGTTTGTGAATGTATGCTCCTACTCCACCTCCTCTCTCATTCCCCTGGCGACAGTTAACCTCCAAAACATAATCTGTTAATGGGAATGTGTCTACACTAGTAACATTCCAATCTTCTGAAAGAGCAATAATATCAAATTTGTGCTTTATAGAATGATCATACAGTAGGTGCAATTCATTAATGTTTTTATTTAATGATCTAATATTTACATGAGTGATACTAAATGAATTGTCAAATACGTTTTGCAATGTCCCGTCAAAGTCACTTGGACTAGTATATTGTATGAGGATACATCAAATGTATATTCTTCATCATTATTAATATCTATCATTATTAAAAAATAATAAAGAAGTCGGTTTAACTGTATAAAGAGTATATTTAGCCTAGGCTAGGAAGTGGAGCTTGAAGTCTCCGTAGTCAATGTCATCCAGACCCAGATCAAAAAGATCATCTGGGCTCTTGACAACCTTGAACTCTCCATTGTTCATTTTGCAGGAAATGTACTGTAGCTGCTAACACAACCATGTTGTTGTTGTTGTTTTAGTTTTAAGTTATGAATATTTACGCCGAGTTCAAGTTTTTTAATAATTTTAAATAATTACCAGTAGGTAGCTGGGCTAGACTTCTCTCAAGGCACAATGAATTTTTGATAAAGTGTCAAATTAGGGTCTGTGCCTGCAGACTAGGCCAGGGATTTCTCTGACTGCAAGAAACATTTATAATGTTGATATCAAAAGAGGGCAGCATACACAGCCATACACAGGGGGGGGGGGGGGGGGTTCAACTCCGCTTCTGCATCCGTCTAGCCCAACGAACTCAAACCAACTTGGATTTCGATGGTCTAGCCATGGGGAAATTTTGGAGGGTCAAAAGTGCACACTGCTTCCATTTATCGTGTATTAGCCTATGAAGACGACAAGTTTTTAGTGCACCAGCGAAATGGGGATTTTGGACTGCGCGCAGCGCGCAAAATATTTAAATTAAAATTTTGAATATTCATGAGCTCTTTTCCACTTATTAGCATATTATCGCAATGAAAAAAAGACAATGCGCATGCGTTACTATATCGACAGAATCCTGATAAATGTAGAACAAAGGTCAGAGTTGGGGAGGTGTGTGGGGAGGAGGGGGGGGGGGGGGGGGGGGGACTTTTAAATGGTTGACTTAGGTGGGGCCACAAACTTCACTGTCACCAGGATGGAAAGTACATTAAAAAAAATTCAGTTCAGTTAAAAGGCAAAAATAATGACCCCATTTCACTCAATTCATTTGTTACCTCTTTTTTTTTTGTTCCTTTATTAACTTAAATATTTTTAAAATCAGACAAATTGCACTGATCATTTAGCCCACTTTACAAGTGATATTTTCATATTTTTAGTGTCCAATTAATGAATCATTCTCACCTCGACTTCAATGATCTTCATATTGTGCCCCATCCCCAATGAAATTTCAATTTTGTCTCGTTCTTTTCATTCTTGCATTCGTCGCCACTGATTTTTTTTTAATTCCCCCTCCCCCCCAACAGTAACATTTTCAATACAGAGACCCCTTCTAATAGTGACATTTCCATAGGCTCTATTACCCCAATTACCTATGCTTTCATCATTTCGGCATCGACTTATTCTTTATTTAACCCCCCCCCCCTCATCTTTATTGTAAACCATTTTTTATACTGCATTTATACATAATTCTTGCCCACTCTCTTGTTACATTTCCGCTTTCTCTCTCATTAGGAAAGATGGTTAAATCTATCTCGCTGATGCCAGATATAAACAAACATCAAAAGGTCGAACACCATACTCAATTCTACACAAGACTGCATCAGCCCCCATCTCACCTCAGTCATACAGCATTATCATTACAGAGTGCCTACATCATCATAATCACCAGCATCATCACATATATTTCACAAAATAAGAAAATGAAAAGAACAGAATTCAGCAGTATTAACTGATTTATTAACATTTATGAACTCATTTATCAACATATTTTGTTTCTATAAAGTCTTTTAAAATCCAACATGACATCAACAAAATGATGACAAATGGATGGGGGGAGGGGGTGCTGTCTCTTGAATTCAAATCTTTCAGTTGTAAAAATTTACTGTAGATTTTGAAGAAAAAAATATTCCAATAATATCAACAAGCTATTTTATTATGTAAAGCACAGGTATATACTGAGTTTTATGAGTACTTTATCTTACATTGGACATTATTGTTGTTGTTTTTACTACTACCTGTATTATCATTATTATTACTGCTATTATCATGATCATTGTCATTATTGTTACTTTTTTAATATTGTTATTATTATTAATATTAATTATATTAATACAGTCTTACTATTGAACTATATCATTTTATCCCCCCCCCCTACAATTTACTATCCAGTTCAGCATCCCTCATATTTTTGTCAGAACTTGACTTAAGATTAAATATCAAAAAACTATGTTACATGTACACGCATTTAAAAGAACAAATGATTACTTTCATGATCCTCGATATATCTTCTTCTTCTTCTTCTTCTGGTAATCTTCAAAAGGCGTTGTAGCCTATCATGAAGATGAACTAATACTAAAGATTACAAGTGGTGTGAGGAAGACAGATTGTTTCTAAGTGGGATAAGGAGAATAGATGCCTCAGAAGTAGTCCCTGGCAGTTCTCTGGACTGTCAGCATGCACTATATTTGCTGGAAGTCAGTTCCATTAACTTTGGGACAGAGTGTTGGGCAAATACAAACTTGTCTACCTATGTCGCTTCTGGCTTGGTGCAACTGGAGGGTCATGTCATGGTACTTCCTGCTCGTGATTTGTTAAAGCCCGTCTGTACTAGTTTGGCCAGGGGGATAAGACCACCCTGCAAGGTCACTGACAGGTGGTTATCTCATCAAATCAGCTCTCAATTAATATAAGAAAAAGAGGATCATGGGGGACCAACAGGCACAGATTAGGCATTGTTTGCTATATAGAGGGCGCAAGTAGCTATAAGTAGTGCAGTGGGAAAATTTTCAAGGAAGAGCGGAGAGACCATTGACTATCTTGTGCACCATTCCCAGTCTTCTTGCAGAGTGCCTTGTAGTTGTAGATATAGTAGGCAACTAAAAGGTGCTGATCATCTCAGTCAAACTGCTGCTTCTCTTGTGGTCCCCATTGTGAAGTAGCGTCCTGGACATCTGAGATGTTGTAGGGATCCCAGACACCGGAACAGTTCTCAAGATGAGGGTGGACTAGGGACTTGTACAAAAGAAGCCTGGGTATCAAACCTTCTGCATGGGACAACCTGAATAATAAAAACAAAAAGAGAGGAGAAATCAAATAAGATTAAAACTGCTGCATTATATTGGATTTTCAAAAATAGTACCTCCCCACTTTTGTTTAGGTCTTGCATTTTAATTTTACTAAAAAATGATAAACTTATGTCTATCTGATAGGGCCTTTTTTAAGAGAAGAGTAAAGGTTTAGATGTATTTCCAATTATTTTAAAAGTAATTTCCAATTTATTTTAAGTTATTATTTGCTAGACTTTTGTGAACAAAAGTTTGTTAGATATAATGTAATATTTAGGAAAAAATGCCTTTGAGTATGTCTTTTAATATGCTGAGAGAATAAACTGTAGCAACACCATAGTTTGTCACCTAAATAAAGCTAGAGAATAAATGAGAATTACCAGATATAATGCAACACAAGATGACAGTTCCCCAAATCTTTGTATATAGTCCAAGTCGAGTGCGGTGTTCGCATGGGCTTAGATTATACAGCCTGAATATTTTCGAACTTCATACAAACATACCTTGCCAGAGTTCAACTTAGGTGTCTTGTTCCTGATTAGATCTACACCATAACATTTGATGATCAGGTCCTGGTGCTCTTTGTTGCACTTCTGTGATCATTATCTGCTTCTTTGTTCCATAGGATCTACAATTAAAAGAAAACAGAAACTTAGTAAGGTTCCTGCTAATATCAAATGCATGCATTAGTTATCAGTTTATAACTTTGTTCATGTCGTAGAGAAAGAAATATCCATGTCATATGTAGGGTTGGATCCAGAATTCTCACCAACATAAAAGGGGTGGCATAAAATCCTGAAAATAGACCAATTATTTCAAACAAGGCACAATGACATAACTAAGAGCGAAATCAGGGGAAGTGGGAGGGGGGGGGGGGGAGGAAATACCTTTTTGTTTTGTTTTTGTTGTTGGTAGATTTAGCCTAGATCTACATTCAAACTAAGCTGAATCTGGACCTTGATCACAATAATGACACATGCGCACGACTAGTCTAGTAGTGGAGCAAAACGAGCCTAGACCCATGGCTATGGAAGTCTTTGCTAAAAGCTATGGCATAACACAAGCTATAGATCTAGATCTAATTGCCTATTTTTAATATTATTACTATTAGTAGACCCTACTAGTAGGGGGCGACCTACATCTAGACCCGTCCCTATGCCACATCTGAATAAGGGGGCACAGAATGATTGTGCACACCCCCCCCCCTCCATAACTTCCACATTGACCCACCTAAACCAGGCATTTAGGTCTATTTAGTCTTTTTTTTTTATTTATTAGAATGCATTAGGCCTAGAATCTAGCCCTAGATATAGACCTAGGTCTATAGATGCGGGGTTAAATGCTGTTTATACTTAGTTAAGTGCTAGATCTAGACTAGACGGTAGACCTAGCCTAGCCTAGGCTCTGCTTAGCCTTAGCCCGAATTTTTCTGTCTCTTTCGTTCGTTAGCCTCTGATTTGGGTAGGGTCAGCTAAAGAGAGGAGCCGACCCTACCCAAATCAGAGGCTAACGAACGAAAGAGACAGAAAATTCAGGCTAGACTATGCTATGAATAGTCTAGAGCTAGAGGTCTAGGCTTTACAGTAACACACTGTAAAGTTATAGCCACGCCAGCTCAGGAAACGCAGTCGCTTCTTGGTGGAGTGTTACAGCCGGCTAGCACCGGCGAATTGAAAATCATAAACCGCTCGACGAGATCTCGTCGGCTTGGACTAGCAATGAGCCATTTGCGCAGTCTACAACAGGTCCACATCTACGACCGATTACTATCGGTAATCAAGCTATGAACTGAACTTAAAATTATGAGATGTGCTCTAATGAAATAACCTACGGTAAAATCCTGATTGTTTCTAAAAATATTACCGTCGATGACTTATATTAGAGTTCATTCAATCAGTTAATATTCTTTAGTCAGAAGAAAGAAAAGAGGATGGGGTAGGGGGTTAACCGGGTAAGACGTTGTGACAATGCGGAGAGCCCCTCACTGCAATGACGAACACATCACAATCATTTCAGAGACCTTCACACAAAATGGATCTTTACTTACTTTTCTTGATATCATAGGGTATCACTTCGATGTCAATGTTCGCCTGAAGATTTTCTGCTTCACTGAGATGTACTTGACAAACTTCTATTATAATAGAAATTCACTTAAAAGAAAAATGTTTCATTGTTCGTAATTGAATAACTTGAAAGTTGCAGTTCATACAACCGCCATTTTCGTGGTCAAATCGTAGGGAATTCTGGGAATGCAAAAAATGTTTTATGCATGACCTAATACATAAAACATTTTGTCGATGGCCAATCAACAAACAGAAGTTGGCGTATTTTTTACGTCATTGCTCATGAATATTCATTGTCCTCCAAAACCGTCGTTCAAATCGGACAAAACCCCCATAATGCATCCAATACAAAACCTATGAAATGTCAAAGGTCACGATTTTAGTTGGCCCTCTAGTCCTCCTACGGAGGACATACTGTGTATGATCGAATCTCTTTGAAGAGGGTAAATTTCAGGGGGGGATGACTGTCCTCGGGGTTGGGGGGGGGGGGGGGGGGTTAAAACCCCCGTAGATCCGCCACTGACATACTAGCTAGCAATTCCTACAAATCACCTCCAGGCTCAAAGTAGAATCATATTAGTGTGTCGGTATTATTTCGAGCTGAACAAAGGGCAAACTTCGCTGGGCTGGGCTGGGCTGGGCTGATGACCATAGAATTCAAAGCTAATTTCACAATTACATTTTTGAATAAAGGATAACTTAGCAAGAAGTTACCGACTGTAATCTTAGATCCTCATTAAATTCATGTAACTTGGCCTAATTAAGACGATGATGATCATCATTAGGGTCGCTAACTTCACGAGCGCGCGCCCGCCCGCACCCAATCTTCGGTACGGTAGGCAACTGTGTAGCGGTTTGACGTGAAACATGTGAGACTTTGGTTGGGCTCTCTAAATTGATTTTGTATGTGTTACTGAGTGTGTATGTGGAACTTGACGGTGCCAAAATGCCACACAAAATCGAATATCACTCAGAAAAAAAAACATTTCATTTCATTTAAAAGTCTCCTCCTTATAATAGTTGGGGAGGGGAAGCTAGGGGTAGAGAACAAGGATATTGAACAGTATTTCTTTCAGAACGATTTCGCTGCAGTAATCAAAAGGGAAAAAACAAAAAAACGTAGCAGACGACGGTAAGCTACTCAATAGACAGGTGAGATCCACTCATGTAATCAGGCATGATCCACGCAATGCATGATGGACAGGCGTATGAAAGATGACATCATCGTTCAACCTATTTGAAGTTAAAGACTGACGTCATCATTGAGCATGCGCACAAAGTGCGCTTTATTGACCAGTGTCAATGTTACGTCATGGCCCGTGTCTTGGAAACGGTTGAGGGTTATTTTTGTTACTGTTCTGCATAAATGTTATAAACGATGTAAATATGTTCATTCAGGGCCCCATGGAAGACCACTACTTGTTGGTGAATGGGCTACGTACCCTGCCAAAAGATTAGAAACAAATAAATAAATAAATTTAAAAAGAAACCCCCCAAAAACAGAGGGAAAGGGAAGGTAAGAGGAGGGTTTCAGCATGTCAAGGGCGTCACCTCAAGCAAAAACAATTCCCCAAAAAAAAAAATTAAAAAAAATGCCTACAACACCCGGTATTCCCAGGCGGTCTCCCATCCAAGTACTAACCAGGCCCTACGCTGCTTGACTTCGGTGATCGGACGAGAACCGGTATATTCAGCATGGTATGGTCGTAGGCGAAAGACATCATCGTTCAACCTATTTGAAGTTAAAGACTGACGTCATCATTGAGCATGCGCACAAAGTGCGCTTTATTGACCAGTGTCAATGTTACGTCATGGCCCGTGTCTTGGAAACGGTTGAGGGTTATTTTTGTTACTGTTCTGCATAAATGTTATAAACGATGTAAATATGTTCATTCAGGGCCCCATGGAAGACCACTACTTGTTGGTGAATGGGCTACGTACCCTGCCAAAAGATTAGAAACAAATAAATAAATAAATTTAAAAAGAAACCCCCAAAAACAGAGGGAAAGGGAAGGTAAGAGGAGGGTTTCAGCATGTCAAGGGCGTCACCTCAAGCAAAAACAATTCCCCAAAAAAAAAAATTAAAAAAAATGCCTACAACACCCGGTATTCCCAGGCGGTCTCCCATCCAAGTACTAACCAGGCCCTACGCTGCTTGACTTCGGTGATCGGACGAGAACCGGTATATTCAGCATGGTATGGTCGTAGGCGAAAGACATCATCGTTCAACCTATTTGAAGTTAAAGACTGACGTCATCATTGAGCATGCGCACAAAGTGCGCTTTATTGACCAGTGTCAATGTTACGTCATGGCCCGTGTCTTGGAAACGGTTGAGGGTTATTTTTGTTACTGTTCTGCATAAATGTTATAAACGATGTAAATATGTTCATTCAGGGCCCCATGGAAGACCACTACTTGTTGGTGAATGGGCTACGTACCCTGCCAAAAGATTAGAAACAAATAAATAAATAAATTTAAAAAGAAACCCCCAAAAACAGAGGGAAAGGGAAGGTAAGAGGAGGGTTTCAGCATGTCAAGGGCGTCACCTCAAGCAAAAACAATTCCCCAAAAAAAAAAATTAAAAAAAATGCCTACAACACCCGGTATTCCCAGGCGGTCTCCCATCCAAGTACTAACCAGGCCCTACGCTGCTTGACTTCGGTGATCGGACGAGAACCGGTATATTCAGCATGGTATGGTCGTAGGCGAAAGACATCATCGTTCAACCTATTTGAAGTTAAAGACTGACGTCATCATTGAGCATGCGCACAAAGTGCGCTTTATTGACCAGTGTCAATGTTACGTCATGGCCCGTGTCTTGGAAACGGTTGAGGGTTATTTTTGTTACTGTTCTGCATAAATGTTATAAACGATGTAAATATGTTCATTCAGGGCCCCATGGAAGACCACTACTTGTTGGTGAATGGGCTACGTACCCTGCCAAAAGATTAGAAACAAATAAATAAATAAATTTAAAAAGAAACCCCCCAAAAACAGAGGGAAAGGGAAGGTAAGAGGAGGGTTTCAGCATGTCAAGGGCGTCACCTCAAGCAAAAACAATTCCCCAAAAAAAAAAATTAAAAAAAATGCCTACAACACCCGGTATTCCCAGGCGGTCTCCCATCCAAGTACTAACCAGGCCCTACGCTGCTTGACTTCGGTGATCGGACGAGAACCGGTATATTCAGCATGGTATGGTCGTAGGCGAAAGACATCATCGTTCAACCTATTTGAAGTTAAAGACTGACGTCATCATTGAGCATGCGCACAAAGTGCGCTTTATTGACCAGTGTCAATGTTACGTCATGGCCCGTGTCTTGGAAACGGTTGAGGGTTATTTTTGTTACTGTTCTGCATAAATGTTATAAACGATGTAAATATGTTCATTCAGGGCCCCATGGAAGACCACTACTTGTTGGTGAATGGGCTACGTACCCTGCCAAAAGATTAGAAACAAATAAATAAATAAATTTAAAAAGAAACCCCCCAAAAACAGAGGGAAAGGGAAGGTAAGAGGAGGGTTTCAGCATGTCAAGGGCGTCACCTCAAGCAAAAACAATTCCCCAAAAAAAAAAATTAAAAAAAATGCCTACAACACCCGGTATTCCCAGGCGGTCTCCCATCCAAGTACTAACCAGGCCCTACGCTGCTTGACTTCGGTGATCGGACGAGAACCGGTATATTCAGCATGGTATGGTCGTAGGCGAAAGACATCATCGTTCAACCTATTTGAAGTTAAAGACTGACGTCATCATTGAGCATGCGCACAAAGTGCGCTTTATTGACCAGTGTCAATGTTACGTCATGGCCCGTGTCTTGGAAACGGTTGAGGGTTATTTTTGTTACTGTTCTGCATAAATGTTATAAACGATGTAAATATGTTCATTCAGGGCCCCATGGAAGACCACTACTTGTTGGTGAATGGGCTACGTACCCTGCCAAAAGATTAGAAACAAATAAATAAATAAATTTAAAAAGAAACCCCCCAAAAACAGAGGGAAAGGGAAGGTAAGAGGAGGGTTTCAGCATGTCAAGGGCGTCACCTCAAGCAAAAACAATTCCCCAAAAAAAAAAATTAAAAAAAATGCCTACAACACCCGGTATTCCCAGGCGGTCTCCCATCCAAGTACTAACCAGGCCCTACGCTGCTTGACTTCGGTGATCGGACGAGAACCGGTATATTCAGCATGGTATGGTCGTAGGCGAAAGACATCATCGTTCAACCTATTTGAAGTTAAAGACTGACGTCATCATTGAGCATGCGCACAAAGTGCGCTTTATTGACCAGTGTCAATGTTACGTCATGGCCCGTGTCTTGGAAACGGTTGAGGGTTATTTTTGTTACTGTTCTGCATAAATGTTATAAACGATGTAAATATGTTCATTCAGGGCCCCATGGAAGACCACTACTTGTTGGTGAATGGGCTACGTACCCTGCCAAAAGATTAGAAACAAATAAATAAATAAATTTAAAAAGAAACCCCCCAAAAACAGAGGGAAAGGGAAGGTAAGAGGAGGGTTTCAGCATGTCAAGGGCGTCACCTCAAGCAAAAACAATTCCCCAAAAAAAAAAATTAAAAAAAATGCCTACAACACCCGGTATTCCCAGGCGGTCTCCCATCCAAGTACTAACCAGGCCCTACGCTGCTTGACTTCGGTGATCGGACGAGAACCGGTATATTCAGCATGGTATGGTCGTAGGCGAAAGACATCATCGTTCAACCTATTTGAAGTTAAAGACTGACGTCATCATTGAGCATGCGCACAAAGTGCGCTTTATTGACCAGTGTCAATGTTACGTCATGGCCCGTGTCTTGGAAACGGTTGAGGGTTATTTTTGTTACTGTTCTGCATAAATGTTATAAACGATGTAAATATGTTCATTCAGGGCCCCATGGAAGACCACTACTTGTTGGTGAATGGGCTACGTACCCTGCCAAAAGATTAGAAACAAATAAATAAATAAATTTAAAAAGAAACCCCCCAAAAACAGAGGGAAAGGGAAGGTAAGAGGAGGGTTTCAGCATGTCAAG